TCTCAAACAGGGGGATCCCTGTTTGTCTCAAACCGGGGATGAGAACGTGGACTGGGTATGGTGCTTCCCACCCCATACCCATTATATATATATATAGAGAGATAGAGAGAGAGAGAGAGAGAGAGAGAAAGAGAGAGAGGGGAGGGGAGGGGTTGACGGGGATGTGGGTTATTTTGCAACCCTTTACATTTATACAACCAATACAATTCAATCCCAATCATCCATTTAATTTGATGAATATGTGCTTTTATAAAATTAAATTGTTTTATAATATAAAGTATTGATCATAAATAATGAACTCTATTAATCTTCTATATATACTAAAATAATAATCAATGAACTCTCATCATTTTCTATAAATATCTCAATTGATTGAGTTATATTGGTTGTACAAATATGATGAGCTGCATTTGAAACGTTCTATCTATATATACACATATATGTATATTATTTATCTCAACTAAAACGATAGTTCACCATTTTCTATTTTCTAACTAGGTTTATAATTTAAAATTGTTATTTTTTTGATGTTAATATGTAATATTTTGTATGTCAAGTCAAAATACAATTACCGATAAGTTTTGTATATTACTCGATATGCTTTTATATTACTCAATATCTTTTGATACTTGTGACTTTAAGTTTTTTTTTAGATTTAATTGATTTTTTTTTGGTTTTAGGTTATTAGTTCTCATATGATGTTGTGGTTTTTTTTCATATTAAATTAAATTCATTTTGGTTTTAGGTTTATCTAAAATGTTTGAGATTTAAACATCTATAGTATCTCATATATTTAATTTCAAATAACTTATATACACGAAAAAAAATAATCTCCGTTCCCCATTTGAGATGAGGATGAGGATGTGATTATATTCCCCTACGGGGATGAGGACAGAGACAGAGATAGAGATAACAAATTGAGGACGGGGACGAGGGATTGAGGTCCCCACCTCATTCCCATGCCTACGTAGAAGGGTATAAATGTCTATTATAAATCAAGAATTAAAAATTATTGGAATTTTTATCATAAAAATAAGCCGAAATTTATAGAGCATTATGCTGTATTAATATGTCATAACACTTATTTTGTAATTAAACGATTCAATCAATTAATTTTATAAAGTTCAAACATATAACTGATCTCGTACAAATACGCTTTTCGTATTATTGAAGTGTGTAAAAGGGTAAAATAGGAATTTTAAAGATTGTGAAGGGTAGGAATGGAAAAATGAAACAAAAGAACATAAATGGGAAAGAAAAGGACAAAAAGCAAAGAAGTTTGCTTTGGAGCAAATCTAGCAAACATTTGGGGTTGTGGGGGATGAGGGGTTAAAATGACACTTTACCCAAAGTAAAGGAAGGGTAAAAAGGGAAAATGGGATTTGTAGGTTTTCATTTGGCCAAGCATCCACCTAAAGCTTCTTTCAAATAGAAAAAAGAACATTCTCCTATGAATTGCAAACAAGTTCCTTAAAGTTATTGGAATTAAAAATAGACCCCTTGAGTTAAAAGAATTGCATTAAAGTCCTTTAAAGTTGTTGGGACTGCAAATAGACCCCTTGGATGAAAACAATTGCAATCAAGTCGTTTGAAGTTAGTTTGGTAACGTTGAGTTTCAAAGGATCACGTCAAGAAAATCAAAATTAGGCTAATAGTTCAATTAACAGACAGTCTTTGAATCGTTAAGAGGTGAATCTTGTTTGACAAAAAAAATATGTCTCTTAATTATTCTAAAACCATCTGAATGATTTTGTATCTTGAGTCTCGCTTAACCATTAAGCGCCCTAATTTCATTATCAAACACGGAAATGGAGCGGGGAATATAACCACTCCTCGTCCCTAACGGGAATCGGGGATTTATCCCATTTATGTTAAATATTTTAAAGCAAAGGTATTAAACATCACACCGGATCCACGATGGTTCGTGTTTAAAACTCACATATTTCCAAAATTCTGTTACTGTGGGGTATGAAAATATTCAATATTAACATAATCACAACACCATACGTTTAATCACAATATTGAATTTTGTGTTTTTAGCCTTGGGTTGGAGATGCTCAGTCTTCCATATGTAAGGGTTCTGAATGTCAACATTTGGATAGTGAAGGTGGTAAAGTGTAAGTTTCTTTATATGTATCGAACACAGTTCTCTTTCTTGTGTGGGGTTTTCAAGATAAGACAAAAATGCCCATCACCACCCCTTAAAAACCGACACCCTCCTCTTCCTCTCATAGTTTTTCTTCTCTTCACCTTGATTTTATCGATTTAATATTTTATATAAAAACAAATATATTTTTGATCGAAATGTACAGAAAAAGCTACTTTGTGCCGCGTAGGAGACGAAATTGAGAAAACCCCAGGTTTTTTTCTCGTTTTTTTGATGTGTTTTTAACGATTTACGGTGGCGTCGGACGGTGGTGATGGGGGCAGGTCACGAGGGCATATCGGTCATTTACATGAAGTGTCAAGAAACTGGTGGTTGGTGGGTCTTGTGTAGCATCTCGCATTTCGAAGCTCAGTTTCTTGCGGCAATGCTGGTGGGTGATCAGCGGTGGCGGGCGGCGGAGGTGGTGGAAGGTTTACGAGGGTATTTTCGTCATATGATATGAAGAACAAGAGAATGGTGGTTGGTGGCGGTTGTGTAAAGTCTTGGTTTTTGAAGCTCAGTTTCTTGTGGGCCATGATTGGTGGCTTCCGGTGGTGGTGATCGGCGGCCGGAGGCGGAGGTAGTGGTGGTGATATTGGCGGGGACGGCTCAATCTAGATTAATATGGTTGAAGGTACATTGATGTTTTATGAGGTTTTGTCGTAATTAATTTTCTTTAATTACAAAGAGCACCTTATATAATATCTAGTTTAGCAATTGGGGCTTGAATTTTGTCAAAAGTTACATAATACACCCCTCATTAAATACCAAGCAATTTCTCATGGTTATTATGTATTTAATTGTTAAAATTGAGTGTTTTGTTGCATATAATTTTAGCAAATAAAATGGTTATATTTATCATTTTTATTATTTTATTATTTATTTTTCAGATTCAAATGACAGAAAATGATCATAACGAACACTTTTGATTGTCATTTGAATCATGGGCGGACCTAGTTAGGTGTCATGGGTGGCACGTGCCACCGTATCGTTTCTTCGTCGAAGGGTAAAACATTTAGGTTTCATGAACGGTGCAACCGTATTAATTTGTTGTGTGCCACCGTATGTATTTTGAAACTACAACGAGAACAAGTTTTATTTGGTAAAGTTGGTTTGCAGGGCTTTTATTCCACCCCACACCCAAGTCCGAATCATGTTAGTGTCATTTTCTTAGTCAAACGGTGCCACCGTTTGAAAAAAACTCCATATATTTGTTTCTTATAGTCAAACGGTGCTACCGTTTGAAAAAATTTCCTATATTTCTTTTCTTATCGTCAAATGGTGTCACCGTTTAAAAAAAATTCTGGGTCCGTCCCTGATTTGAATCTGAAAAATAAATAACGGCTAATACACTTTTGATGGTGTATTTTTTTCATTTTATTTGTTTATTGTATATTTCTACTAATATATATATATATATATATATATTTATTTATATATACATACAAATATGTATGTATATTTGTGTGTTAGTGTTTTAAATGATCAGATAAAACAGTTTAAATTTATATAAAGTTGTAAAATTAAAAAAGAAGAGAAGAACTATTTATATAAGATGAATCGAGCTTATAAGAAAATGATATATCAAGAGTGCAAAATCGAGATTAAATTTTTTGAGTCTCTTGTCACTACTTTATTCAATCTTCAGATAGTCGTTGTTCGACTCTTCGTGTATGGATTTATCTATTTAGGGTTTTAAATTTGTTGGTCTCAAAGAGGTTCTACAAGTATATAAACAATTTGCAGAAGAGGGATGAATACAAACACACAATATTTTACTTTTTAAATTCTCTTATTGATTAAGGAAGAACCGATATAGAACTTTCAGATTGTTGCAGAACTAGATAAGGAAAAATCATGATCTAAACAATCTTGAGAATCACAAAACTATTTCTTGCACAAAAAGTAAGAACAAGAAAGAAGAGAGTTAGAAGATGTAGCTAAGAAGAAGACTCTTCTAAGTTATTTATACTCATTGCATTAAATGCACCTCAGAAGGTACAATCCACGTGTCGAGAAATGAGTGAAATTTACTGAAGTTCTAAACTGTTACATTAAATGTTCAACGATAACTAAACAAATTCAGTTATATATGACGGTTGAAACTAAAACATTTAAAAAACATAACTATGTAATTTCACTAATGAGAACGTTCTAAAACCCCAATGGAGTATCATATTTTGAAGTTTGAACGATTAAATCTCTAAAGATTTTTAAATAAATAAATATTTAGATTTGTAAAACAAAACATTTAATGTATTTCCTTCAATTTTTCCAAAAGATACAAAAGTTATATCAAAAGCATGTAAAAATTAGACCAAACGTTGCCCAAAATACGCCATGCATATTTATACAGTGGATAAGGTCGTGTGAGAGATTTTGGTTTTGGAACGACACTTCATGCCCGCTTCTTGAACGGAATGAATTAAAGATTCAACTGACTTCGATTTCGACGATCACAATACTCGTGATGCTAATGCAAACTTGCGTGTTAGAAACAACCGACTTCCCGCATAAAATTACGTATCGTTCATAGAATCATAGTGGAGTTTGTAGAGTGTAATGTTAGTAATTAATAGACTCTTATCTTATTTTCTATGTATAGGTTACAGTCGTGCACAGTCGTATTAAATATAAATTAATCAAGATAGTTGATTAACATAATATTGACTCATAAACGATGTCGTTCATAATCAAAATCATCTATGATATTAATTTAATATTTATATAATTTATAAAAATATTAAATTAACAATAGGAGTAGGTTTTTCATGTAGAATATTACCTCTAACTTGTATGTAACTCCTTTCAAAAAAAAAAAAAATATGCAACTATCATCCAATCCAAAAAGAAATTACACTAACTGTTGTCTTTCCATGTGTTTTATCCAAGCTTCTCCTGCAGTACAAATGCAATCAGGAAAATCATCAACTTCTGCAAATTCATCCCAAATTCGTTTAAATCTGGAATAATATGTAGTAATTGAATCAGTTTCTTGAGCTATTTGATTCAATTCTTTCTGTAATTGAAAAACTACAACCAGATTTGACAATTGTTTCCGGATTGCATTTGCAGTCGTATAATAGATCAATCTTTCAGAGATTTCTTTAGTCATCGCATTAAGAATCCATGTAATAACGATGGAATTGCATCTCTTCCAATCATCATAAGTAGGATCGTCTTCTGCACGTTTCTTCGTTCTGCGTGTCACAAAACCTAATTTGTTCTTGATAGAAAGCGCTAGAGACATCGCACGCTTCCAAGTTCCAAAACTCTTGCCATAAAAAATCTTCGTAACTAACATTGTTCCAGGATTATCATTTTGACTCAAAAACAAAGGATTCGAATATCCAGAGGCATTCATGCTCTTACTCGCATTATCTGCCTGTTTATCAGTCATGTTGAAATTGATGAAGAAGAAGGAAACGAGAATAGATCTGAAATAGAGGAAACTGAAATTGAAAATTGAATCACGAAGGAAAACGAGAGAAAAAATCAGATTGGATTGACTTGCTCTGATATAACGATAATAAAAGAAATAGAGAGAGGAGAACGATTGGGAAATTTTCTTATGATGTATTGAATGGAGAAAAGGACTATATATACACAATTAAGACAAAATCGCCTAAGGGGCTGTTTACCTAAATGCTTACCCGGTAAGTGCTTACCTATAGGAGTTAACACTATAATTTACCTTGATGCATAAGATTTTAGTACATCAAAACGTCTCGAATGCAACAATTTACTGGGTAAGAGTAAGACTCTACATCCTTCTCATTGCTCTTACCCGGTAAGATTCTTGGCCCTTGTCGTGTTCATCCGATGAGAAAATTTATCCGGTAAGTATTTACCAAGCAAGCGTTTAATAAACGGCCCTTTAGTGGGATATCAAACAACTAGTTTGAAGTTGGTGCTTGCAACTGGCTGACTTAAGATTATAGTGTTTAATCTTCGTCTGATTCAAGTAGATGCTAATGTTAGTTTCATTTAGTCATTACTAAAGTGACGTAGACACTGGTACGATTCTGTATATAACACAACGATGGCGGATTCAGAGTTTTCATTTGAACCTCCAATCGGTGAAGAAATCGACTATGAAGATGTTAATCGTATACTGAATCAGTTGCAGAGGAACGTGCACGTCGAAGCACCACTTCTATCGATGATAAAATCTCCAAGGAACATAGTCATGCAGATTTAATACAAGAAAAATACGAGGTTGATGAAGATGGCTTACTGAATCTGAACCGGGCCGGCAAGTAAGTAAGGTGCCGTTTACCAAACGTTTACCCGGGTAAGCGCTTACCAAGTCACTTTACTTTTCCTGATGAATATGACAAGGACTAAAAATCTTACCCGGTAAGAGCGAAGGCAAGAATCTCAAGTCTTACCCAGTAAGTGAAGACGAGGACTCTTACCATGGTTAGCGCTTACCGGGATAAATTGTTGCATACGATGTGTTTTAGTGAATAAAATATTGCCCGGTAAGTAACTAATAGTGTTGAATTTTACCGGTAAGTGCTTACCGGGTAAGTGTTTAGGTAAACGGCCCTTTAAGTTTTAAAAAGCTCGGCCATACTCTATAAAAGAAAAATAGAACACGCGATGTAGCTGTCTGTATGGCGTAATAACCTTGTTGTTTGTATAGAACAAGTCAAGGTACCGAGTCTTTCATACTTGTTTCGGTATCTTTTGTACGAGGCCGCACCAAAAACACATATACCGAACAAAAAGGCACCTTTTGACGTTTTTCTATTAGAACGCATGACCATCCGTCCCAGCTGTAGAGGTGTGGGTGTAATTCCTAGATTTACCTCTCCATGATGATGGTAGGACCGGTGTGGTGGGGGCGCCTCAGAGGGTGGGGTTTACCCCTTTCTTTAGTTTGTGCAAAATGGTTTCTAACCTGCAACCACCGAGTCAGCTGGCACCATCTTACCCCAAGAGTATCATGTGAGAGACAAATCAGGTATACAACGGTTTGTTACGTTGCTGAGTTCAGAGCCTAGGGGACCCCAAAAGAACTGCAACGCCCACATTATTGTTTGTGCATGTTATACCATTCTGGAACCAACTGTGAGCTTATTCCCTAAGTTATCCGTAAATGCCCTTTGTTATTTCTAGTAACGCTATAAATCTTGTGTATACTACAGGTACAAGCGGAGGTAGTAACGTTTTGCTTAGGGCTGTAAACGAACACGAACAAAGAATTGTTCATGTTCGTTCGTTTAATTTAACCGAACAAACGAACGAACACGAACGGTAAACGAACGAAAGTCTTTGTGTTCGTGTTCGTTTATGTTTGTTTATTAACATGTTAAACGAACGTAAACGAACCGGCTAAACGAACATAAAAGAACAAGCCTAAACGAACATTAATAAACGAATACTACTACTTGTTATTCAATTAGCTATTACAAAACAATCACCATTCATTAACCATCATCATTTGAACAAAAAAACAAATCATCATCATCATTTGACAAAAGTGAAAAGATAAAAATTTCAAATAGGACCAAATGATGATAAAATTTAAATATAAATAAATTCTAAATAGTTAAAACTTAAATAAATATTATTTGAATTCAAACTAAATAAATAAAATATTATATATTAAATTTAATATATAAACGAACGTAAACAAACGAACGTTCACAAACATAAATGAACGAACCAGACTCTTGTTCATGTTCGTTCATTTAACTAAACGAACAAAAAAAATTGTTCATATTCGTTCATTTAACTAAACGAACAAAAAAATTTGATCATGTTCGTTCATTTATTAAATAAACGAACTTCCCGCCGAACGGTTCACAAACTGTTCGCTGAACGTTCAGTTCGTTTACAACCCTAGTTTTGCTCTCGGTTGACTTGACGGACCGCAACAAAATGAGCAACTCATTTGGTGCCACAAGTTTTTGGTGTTGATGGTAGAATGTAGTTAAGATATTGTAGGGTTTAAGAAACTGACTTCGTACCCAATTTGCTGTTTTCATTTAATCAAATGAACTTGAAAGGGAAAATCTCATTGAAGGTGAGGAGGGTGTGTGATTTTATTTGTTCAATTTGCCGTATACAAATATTATATACTTTAAAAAAAAAATTCTCATCAATAGTAATATTTTGATTGAATTGTGGATTTGGTCCCTATGGTTTGATTAAAATTAGGAGTAGTCCCTACAAGTCTTTAATTATGGATTTGGTATCGTTGGTTTTCATTTTGTCACGACAGTTGTGACAAAAATGGATTTAGAAGCTGCTCGTTATTTTTAGTACAAATTCCGTACAAAAAAGTTTGTGATAGAAACCGTAAATCAAATCCAAAATAAAAACGTAGATAAAAACTTTAAATCAAAGAAGAACGCTTAAACTACGAGTTTTCGTTTTCGTTTTTGTAATTTTGAAATTGTGGTTTTCGTTTATGTGGTTTACAAACCATTGTGGTTTTTGTCATCGAGATAATTCAGTACGATTATGTATAAGGAATGAAAAAAACAATAAATTATAAACCAAAGAGACGAAAGAAAAACAAAAATAGCAATATTGAAGAAACCGTAGGGACTAAATGAAAACATAGTTTACTTAAAAACTAGTTGTGTATCCATGTACTGCGGTGGGAGCCGTGAATTTTAACGATTTTGAAGTTTCACTGGTTTTATTAGAGATGATTTAACGATGATATAAGTTACAGTTGGTCTTTACATATATATTAATACAATTTGAATAAATAAAAATTATGGTTCAAATTACAGTATATCGATGAAAAAATTTGTATGACAGTTTGAAAACTGAATATATTTAAAATCCAACATATTTAAATAACTCCACAAATGTGTTAGATTTACACCAAGAGCAAAGAATTAAGAGATCGAGAGTTCTAGAGCAATTGAATGAGAGATGAATAGAAGAACTTTTAATAACTCATGATGAATATCAGTTTGAATCTCACCTTAGAGGATGGGAAGAAAACATAGAGATATGAGAGGGTGAAGACATGAATGAAAGGTGTCAAAAGATCTTGGGAACATGAAAAGAAAAGACAATAATATGCATTGGTAACTTGTACTATATGTTATTTTAATTATAGATTAAGAGATTTTAAGGCATAAAGTAGTAGTAGTTAATGTATTATGAGTTGTTTTTAAGACTTTGTACATAAATGTATAGTACTTTGTGCATTAAAAATTGTTTTTAAGACTTTTGATAAACCTGGTTTATAAAGTAGTATAGATAAAAAAATAATCAAAACCACCCCATTACTGTCTGTAAATCACACCACTCCTGTTGTGCGTTTCTATTTCTCGATTCCTTAACCGCTTTAAATACATCCATCTTTGTAAATTGAAACACTGTCAGTTCACTTGGTGAAGGCTTTAAAGCAAGGTTTTAAAACAGGATGCGGTGACTTAGGGCTATCTGTAAAACAAGTGGTTGTTCTCAAATTAGTCGACTCACATAGTGGATTGGATATCCAGGTTAATAAAAAAAGAAAGAGCAAGGTTTTACGTACTATGCAGGCTATACAAGTAATAAGCATTTATTTAACAAGTTTTAGCATGTACAAGAATTCATTTGTTTTTCTTCCCGATTAACCTGGATATCCAACCCGCTATGCAAGCCGACTAATCCCAGGGCAACCACCTGCTTTGCAGATAACCCGGAGCCACCGCATTTGAACCTCCATGGCCACAAGGGATTTTTAATCCTCCTTGGATTTGAACCTGGGACCTCCTGGTACTTTTGACCTTTGAAGTCAAGCTCAAACCAATCAGACGGAATTAATCTTGTGGTTAGAATTCATTTGTTTAAAACAACTACATACGGAATTAATCGATCAAAAAAGAATCCATCGGGTTTTATTGCTAAGATTTAAGTCGGTTCCCTTAAACACCGACAAATATACTTATACGAGGCACAAACACAACCAAAAGTTATAATACGATTAGGCCAAATGCCTTTAGGTTAAAAACACCATGTACTAAACTATATAATATGCGTTCGAGCGATTATAAGAGAGTATGTGCTAATTCGTCAATAAAGAGCCAACGTTACTCGATACTTTGTGAATGAACTCTCTCACCTGCCCAATAAGTTGTGTTGATTCTGGCAATTCCGGAAAGATGTAGAAAGCATGGCACATGTTTGGGTACTCCACCAAGTAAACCTCTTTCCCACTCTTCTCCATCCACTCGTAATACCTTTTTTGCCAGTCGTGTAGAGCATCGAACCCCGCGATCACCACCATGGTCGCTGGAAAATCTATTTTCGATAAGTCCACCGCCTTTGGGCCGCTGACATTGATGATTGGATGGTCCCGATTGAACCCTTCCCCTTTTGGCAAAAACGCATTCCACATCCAATCAGTTCGTTTTACGGAAACGATTGGTGTTCCATCTAGTCTCGTCTCTGAATCTATCCGCTCCTCTCCGCCAAAGAATGGTTGAATTGCCACCACTCCGATTACCTTCAAACATGGTGCAAAAGTTTTCATTACTGTTTCTACACAACATATATATGTAAGAGAAATCTTATTTTACTTGACTATAGTTTGCCACTTTGTAGTATCGAACCAATACTCGAAGTCATACCGGACGAGAATTATAAGTTCGGAAACAAATTTATAAAGCGAATGGATCGTGTACATTACTATATAATTTATAAAGTTATGTGTGGTGAACTCCTGGTGACCTAGACTACACCTAACCAAGACTTTCCCCACACAAAGTTACAGGAACAAATAGACTTTACGCTGAATTGCACGTTCTGTTTCAAAGGCCTGTTTACCGATACAAATTGGATAGGCGCTAACCGGGTAAGCGAGGCCTCTTGATCTTTAGCGGGACATCTCGATCAGCAACATTGTTGGTTAGAGACAGAAGGTATGGTTATACAAACATTAATTTATAGGGTGCTGGTGGGTACCCGTGCAACCACAAAAAAGTTCAGACGTAGTGTAATTTTGTCTAATGGTCCATAAGGATGCTTACAATTTTGTTTGGTTGTGTGCTACGGTGCAACCACGAAAATATCCTCCATGATCCGCCTCTGCTTACCAGGTCAGCACCACTTACCCAATAAGAAGCAGTAAGTGTATAGTTAACAGACCTTTAGACTTGATATAAACCAAACCAAAAGGACGCGGTAAATCTCACAGAGGTAAAAATGTATGCAGAACATGTCGCTACGAAAACAGGTAGGGAGACTGTATCTTTGAATCCTATGCCCTCAAGTTCTTCAAGTCCGGATTCATGGATAAGCCTTGGTAAACAGGGATTATCTCATGCAAACATTCGTACCAAGACGACTTCATTTGTATCTAAATAATAAGTACATTGAACTGGATCTCATACAACTTATATAGAGAATTAAAAGAAGTTTGAATTAGACAAGGAATTGTTCGTTTTCTGCAATGTTTCTTTAGGAAAGAAGTGCCATACATAACTGGCGAAGGAAAAGAGAACGTATGTTTAAGTATTTAACCAGTAATATGATAAGAGCAAGCATTTAAAAGGATGTCACTGTAATAGTAATTGCAGAAACTATTTACGTTAAAACCCTAGATGGAACTTTAAAAAGTCAGACAGTGTCGGTTCCTCCCTATGAATGAAGTGGGATGCATAATGTAGACATTAAAGGACACTTGATTGCCACACCAGTAACATTTATTTTCAAGGTCAGAATAGTATGGCGATAATATTCATGACGACTTCAATGACAACACCACCATTTTATTTTAAAAAAAACAGCATATTTTCTGTGTGGAGGACAGAAATTCTCAGGTCTAGCTTCGGAAAATTTTATTTTTAGTTGAAACGAAAACAACTACAGATACTAAAATCAGACTCCAATTCAAGGTGTTCTTCACTAAAAAAACGAGGGAAAGGACTAACACTAACCTCAACCTAAATTTAACTTATTTGAAAGATTTCACTCAAAATCACAACATGTGGACCTATGAAATTGTTTATAATCATTTATTTATACTGTAGTCGGAAATAGTTAATTGGAAATCATTAGAATAATGGCAGTCTTAACTAATTTGTTCCATTATTGATCAATGTACCTGGAGTCGTCGGAAGCGGAATTCACAGGCTCTTTGAGTAACATGATGAGCTAGGTTTCCACCAGCACTATCTCCAACAAGAAAGCAACGCCGCAAATTAGCATTCTCCGGCAACGATTTGGACCTATTCTCTTCATCATCGAGAAACTTCAGCACATCGAAGCAATCTTCATGTTGAGACGGATACCGATGCTCCGGCGCAAGCCGGTAATTAACAGAAACAACAACAGCCGGCACTTTTCTCGCGAACCGGCGGCACACGGCGTCATAGGCCATGACGTCAGGGGAGAGGAAGACGAATCCTCCTCCGTGAAAGAACACGATCACCGGGAGATCTTCAACATCGTGTTGTGTAGGTACGTATACTCGGAACCAAAGGTTACGAGTTTTATCCACAACGACGTCGTGTGACATAATGCCGTTGGTCGATTTGGACGTCGGCGGGCTTCGGAAGTCGAATAAGTTAAGAAGACGGCGGTTAACAGTACCGTTTTTCCGGCAGGATGCGTCGGTGAAGGTGGAGAGGACGGAAAGAGCGATTCGTGTCTTCCATGGTAAGGAGAGCGACGGCGCCGGAGGTTTAGCGGTGGCCTCCATCGACGTACCACTATAAAATCAATGAGAAATGGTATGTTTGTGTGTGAAATTATTTTGATCAAGTCCCTGATTTATAAGAATCACATTTAAATTCATGGCCTGGGGCCCACCCTAACTATAAATGAAGTGACAGGGCTCAAGTTTAATCCCGTTCTTACCGATCCGAGGCCTTGACAGTGCATTTGGTACGTGGAACAGGGTGGGACAAGATATAACATGATACACTTGTCCCATGTTTGGTGTGTTTCTAAGTGGAACTAAGTGGAACACGTATGAGACAAGTCTGTTCATCCTCACCCTCCTGGAACTAAGTGGAACAAGACATATTTGACAAATATACCCTAAACCTAATACCCATCTCCATCGATTTCTTCACAGGAGACCTTCATCTCCATCGATCTCCATCTCCATCGATTTCTTCACAGTCCACCTCCATCTCCATCGATCTCTTCACAGGAGACCTCCATCTCCGTCGATTTCGTCACAACATCCAAGAACAAAGGTACGGTCAATTTCTCTCGATTTTATATGTGTTCTATTTGGATTTCACGAGCTGGGGTTTGTTTTATTTGATGAAATTCGAAATGATTTTTTTATTGATTTTGTGTTTTTAGTTGAATCATGAACCGGGTATTGTGATTTTTGATCAATGATGAACTGGGTATTCTTCACAGCCGGCCTCCGCCTYCATCTCCACCGTCTCCTCCATCTTCGTCGTCTTCTTCATAGCTGGTAATCGATTTTGCCTACTGTTTCGATTGATATTTCGATTTTGCCTACTGTTTGGATTTTGCCTATTGTTTCTCAACACGCTCGATTTTGCCTATTGTTTCGTCTGATATGTAGTTATGTAGTTATGTACTTGAAATGTCACTAGGAGTAAATTAGTCATTTTAACCAGTTCGGTCATGTTCTGTCCTGTCCTGTCATATCTTACCAAACGCTGAACACCTGTCTTGTCCTGTCATGTTCTGTCATATCCTGTCATGTCCTGTCTGCGTACCAAACGCACCCTAAAAGTGCCGACTATAACCAGTCCCGGTCGTAAATGAGGAGCCCGGCAAAGCGGAACCACAACCGGTTATAGTGAGCCAGTCCTGGTTCCAGTTGACCATAAAAAATATATTAAAAAAAAAAAAACTAATGATAGATTTTTTAATATGTTATAAAATTTGTAATTAGGTCACTCAAATACACTTTAAATGCGTTTTATTATATTTAAAATTACAATGTCTTTCAAAAGTACATTATAAAATTATTTGAAAATTCATCAATCATCATCGGTATCTCATGTCGGATTGATTTGAAGAGTTTCGTCTTTTGAATTCTTTTAATAGCCTCTTGGTCATCAAACTTATCAATGTCGAGTTCCACATTATCATCATATTATGAGTAAGTGTTGTCGGTATCGGTAGTTGACGGTGGTTAGTCCCATGGCGATTTCATTTTCTTCCAAATTTTCTTCCACCACTTCTAACGACGTCGTGTGTTGAATTTTATCAACGATATCCAAGTAATCCTTCAAATAGATGCAACACTCCACGAACTCCGAAATTACGGTACTAGTTTGGATTTTTAGTATATCACGTGTTATACATGCCAAAACCGGGAATTGAGGTTGCTTTTGTTTCCAAAAATCTAATTAATCAATTTTTTCAAAATCTTCGACATCATGTGCGGAGCATGCAGCCATATAGTTAGTATGCACATACATATTTAGTTCACCCAAATTGTCATCAAATCAACATTTTTTACTTGATTCATTTAAGACATCGTTCATTAAATTAGTCATCAACTCTTTCCGACTTTGGCGATAACCACTAGAAGAACTAGAACCCACAAATCCACGAGTTGAAGAGCTTTGTTGTTGGTTTCAAATAAATCTTGAAAATTACGATTAAATAAACGTTTTTGTTCCGTTGAAAAAGAATTACCTGTAGCCGTATCTAAACCAAAGACCACACATATTTGTGTAACTAAAATTTCAACACCGATAACATTTAAATATGGGTTTAATATCGCACCACAAAGAAAAGCAAATGGGATGCTCATAAAATATTTTAACAATTTATTTTTCATTGAAGTCATCAAACTTCCCCGATCGTGATGGTCTTCGTATTGAGCAATCTTACTTGCCAGTATATATAATTGGTTTAAAACTAAAGAGTTTGTTGGATAATATATACCGGATAAAAGTGTTGTCGCATTTTTAAAATCACCTAAAAATATCGTACAATCCTTCAACCACGGCCCACTCAAGATTTTCAATAGAATTTTGCGTGGTAATAGTGTCTATAAACGGTCTCATAACCGGTCCCAGTCTCAGTCGGTCTCGGTCCCTCAAAACACCCCTAATCATGAAACGGTCCCGGTTACTGGTCCCGGGACGAGCCGGTTTGGCATCACTAACTAAGATACAACCAAATACATGTCAATTTTTAATGTTGGGTTTTATTATACGATTTTATATAGTTTTTGAGAAAATTATAACATTTCATATTTAAATAAATATAAACTTAAGATCCATATTTCTTTTATTGATATCAGTATCAAATTAACAATTTAAAAGTTCTTATTTTTTAATAATTTTTTTAGTTTAATTTTTTAGTATAATGTAACTTAGGTCTAACAACAAAGTAATAATGTTTTCTGTAAATATAATTTTTAGTTCAATCTTTTTACTATAATTTAATTTAGGTTTAATAGCAAATTAATTTAATTTAGATTTAATAATATAATTTTTTTATAAATATAATTATTAAGTATTATGTTCAAACTTAATGATTATCCTATTTTAGATTATTTATATTTAAAATGATTATGTTTATCAGTGTAATGTTCGGTTTTAAGTTATGAATTGATCGAGTTTGAAGTAAATAGCGAAGAAAAGTTTAGAGGAAAATCTTATAGTTGTTGAAAGTTGAGGGACCAAAGTTGAAAATAGGTCACCTCCGTGTGAGTTAGAAATATTGGTCCAATATGATATCCGGAAATTTGGTGTTACACGTGATTTACTTTGATACATGAAATTATGCGACGTGGTTTGATTCGAAAATTATGTCCGATGAGGAGTGCTCATCTCCCAAACTTTGGGAGATGAGGGTGTGTTCATCTGCCTTTGGGAGATGAGGGTGTGTTCATCTCCCACGCTTTGACCTATGAGTTTGTTCATCGTTTAAATCTATAGTTGGCCGATAGATGACGATAGTTGACGGGTTTAACCGCGATAGATGGCGGGACAGCCGCGATAGTTGGCGGGTTTAACCGCGATAGTTGGCGGGTTTAACCGCGATAGATGGCGGAGCAGCTGTAACATTTTTAACAGTTGAAATCTGAACTGAATTTATTATTATTTTATGGAAAGTTTTTTATACGAGGGAAATCACTCACTAGACCTTTCGGTCTAACCCTCAGTTGTTGTAAAATGTGTTTTTGTAGGTCAACTCAGGTTGGAGAATAAAGGCAAAGGAAAAATGTGACTGGCTGTTGAATTAGTTTTTGTTAGAGAAGTTTTTTTTTTTTTTGCTATAGTCGTCTTCTTTGTTCGAGAAATGCGCAGTGGAGAGGGATGCTAGTTGGCTCGGAGAAGTTGTAGGCCCTAATAAAAAAGATCAAGAGTGATTCCTCACCTATCCTTTCAGGGGACAAATTGAACGCTCGAGTATAGATTCCCTATCCTCATCGGCCGGGGCCGGCCGGTTCGTAGATCTGGATTCATCCATAGACCTGATCTGACATCATTTGTCCAAAAAAAAAAGTAGGTTTTTAGTAGTAGTTCATGAGACCTCGAATTCCAGATCAGACTTTTGCTAATATGTATGGATGTAACTGATTTGTTTGTATATATTGGAACCTGTTATATGTGATATCATGGATTTTGGGGAATTTAGTTTTGTTAGGTTGTTACAGTTGGTATCAGAGCCTCGGTTTAAGGGATCTAGGTATTTCTCTGGTACTTAGACTTAAACTGGATTTCGAGCCTGAGAATGTGTTAAATATAATTGGATCTAAAGTGACGGCAAGTACGAGAGATTTAGATTACATATGGCCAATGTAATCATAAGTTTACAGATGCTTGTTTGAACTTGAACATCTTATTATATTTAGGTATGTGATTAATTGTATACATATTTATTGTTGCAGTTAAAAGTGATATTTTAAGATGGCAGATAATCCTATACGTTCAGTTAGAAATGTGTTTGTGAATCCCAAGGAAGAGAATCTTGCGTTAGGGAATATTCCTGAGAGAACATATGCGAGACAAGGAAGATACCGGGGAAGAGGAATCTTGAATACTGGAATAAATCCAGAAATTGTTGCAACAGTGGAAACAAGGAACTGAGGTCGGGGATAAGGAAGAAGGAGAGGTATACAACAGGAAATTCATATTGAACGGGAAATGTCTGTACAAAAGAGCTCAACATCAGGCTATGGACGAGGCAGAGGTTGTGATCACAACCCTGGCTTTGCTACTCATGAAATGTTAGCAGCCAAATTAAAATTTTATTGCTTATATCACTAAATATCCCCAAATTTTAGAATACAAACACTAAAGTCAATATCCAAGCATTACATATCCCATTGGCTATGATTATCCATTTTGGAATTAGACTTTTGACTCAATTCCAACCTAAATCCACAACTTCCCTTAAATGCCTAGTTAACCCTTGGACTTGTTCTTTCAATCAATTCACACTTTGTCCCTCATATGGACTTGTCATTACAGACTATCAGTATTTTGGAGTCTTACACAAATTTAGATATCTTGAAAAGATTTTTGACAACTTGCATTTAGGAATCCAAAAAGTTCGATGGATATTTCACTTAAGTTTAGATAAAACGTCTAAATCTTACAAACACCTAAAAAATGGTTGTCTTAATTGGGTTAGATGAAGACAAAGATAGAAGATGATCACATGGGTTGCATATGAATTTTGTAAGATATGAAACTAGCAACATGTGGATTACAAGTTAGGGACTAAATTTGTCACTGGAGAATACTCTGAGGATAGCTTTGTAATCACTGTCTTTACATTCGAGCCAAAATTCATACACCCTTTTCAAGCACGGTAAGAAAATCACAACTAACATGCGATTTACGGTATGTGTTTTTTTATTTATCAAACCTTACTCCACAGTGTAATTTTGAATCATCAAATTGTAGTATAAACCACACCATAAAAGACCAGGAATTGGTTGTTGTGGGTGGAGGTGGTAGATTGCCTACCCAATTTATAAATTATCTTCTAAAACCGATATCCAGATTTGTTTGTTCAAATTTGTTAAGATTTTTATATGATAAAAAGGCCATTGAGTTCAAACCTGATTCTGGGTATGATACCCACTATTCTATCAGTTACTTTATAAAATCAAGAATGACAAAAATATCTGCATTTTCAAACACAATCCTTTTATTCTATATATAAGTACAAGTACATCGGAAAATAGAGGGCGAACGTATGAAGGACCCAAAATATTAGAAAATACACAGCACATCAACCGAAAAACTTTACAAACATCCATTGAAATCAACCAAAAAACTGAAAAATTCTTACAATTATTTTACAGATAATCAAATTATGACTTTACAAACATCTGATCCATCTTAAAACAGACGGGATGAACCAAAATCATAGATGGAAAGCCGTAGGAAAACGATCCATTAAATGTATGTAAGATTGAAATAGTAAACGATTAAAGAAGTTGAACTGTTTTTCCTTAAAAGGTAGGAATTATGGTGATTTGGAATTGGATTGAAGCCATGAAGTGGTCCACTAGTTCCCCACCAACCCAACTACCATATTTATGACCTATTAACCTTTTCTCTCCATCCCTTCTTTCCCACATGGAGGTTGGTTAAAAAAATTACGATTTTCGTCCTTGTGGTTTAGATATTGCAGCTTTCGTTCTTATAGTTTGTAAATCATTGTTATTTTTAGGGGTGTTTGTGGTCCGGTTTGAACGGTTTAACCCCTCAGACCATAAACCAAACCGTAATGACAGTTTATAAAATTTTCAAACCGAGTGGTTTGACATCAAGTGCCCAAACCGGTCAAACCAGACCACGAAAAGGGGGTTTGCTGTGACCGGTTTAAGCGGTTCGAGCCTTTAATAGATTTTAAATATTAAACTTAAAAACATATATAATTTATAATTTTAGATTAAATATCCATTTTGATTATGTTAGATGTTAGGTTTTATGTTGGATTTAAGGATATATTTGAGTCATAACCCATAAGTTAAAAAAATTGATCTTGCTAATAACTAAAATAAATAATTGAATATATTTACATATTTATATATAGGGTTGGGTTTACGTGATACCAAAGGTTTTTCGTAAGACCCGTTAAGTCTAATTTATGTTCATTGATCAACTTTATAAACTAATGATCTAATGTCTAAAGTTGCACGGTGGCACTTTTGTGATTATTAAGAAGTCTCGTGGCAATTTTGTGATTATGAATTTTCAAATTGTAGATCTAATCCATTGAGAATTTGTCTTACGGGTCTCAGGAAAAATCTTTGGTCTCACATGATCACAAGTCTTTATATATATATATATATATATATATATATATATATATATATTTGGCGGTCGGTTTGGTCCAAACCGCCCAAAAAAGATTCCAGACCGCAGACCGGACCGAACCGCCCGGTTTTGCTATTTTTCAAACCAAACCAAACCGTCAGACCATTCAAACCGCCAAAAATGGTCTAGTTTAACTTGGTTTGGCCGGTGTGAGCAGTCCAATGGTTTTTTTGAACACCCCTAATTAGTTTCATTATTATGATTTATAATTTATTGTTATTTTAGTCCTTGTAGTTTACAATTTTTTTTTACTATTTTGGTCCCTTATACTTACAAAAATAAGAATTGGTTTAGAGATGAAAATAATAATAAATTACAAATTATAGGGATGAAATAGTAATTTCTAAAGCACAGAAATAAAAATTACAATTTTTAATAAACCATAAAGACGTGAATGTAATTTATTATAGAAAACAATTACCTATTATAAATATATTTATGTACCATTAAAATATGTTTTTAATTGTTTGGTTGGAGTTGAAATTTTTTAGTATTACATGAGCCCATTATTTTTATTTTTATTTTTATTTTTAAAAATTCAACCATTAAAAATAAAACATTAAAAACACGAAAAATAATGGGTAAATTGAACACTAAAAACAAATTAACTCTAATCATACACTAAAAACATTTTTTAATACTATAATAATAAATAACTTAATAATATATATATATATATATATATATACTTAATATAATAGTCATAAGTTATTTTGAGAAGTAAAGAAGTGATCATAATCCTTCATACGGTCAAGATAGGATTCGACTGGTCAATAATTGCGGCTTTAACGGGTTCATATGTGACCTCATGTTTTTCACATATGAAATATATGTTCATATGTGAACATGTATAATTCACATATGAATTATTTTAACCGATTCACATATAAATCAATTAACTGATTCACATATGAATCATTGATTCATACATGAACCCCGTGTGATTCACATATGAACTAATTAACCGATTCACATATGAATTCGTAGGTTCATATGTGAATCGGTTAAATAATTCACATATGAACCCGTTTGTCTTCTATTTGTAAAAGTTACGAAACTACTCTCTATTTTTCGCATACCTATGCAAAGAATTATTTGGTGCTTTCTAAGTCAAATCAAAGCCACAAATATTGTTCAGATGAAGGGTTAAAAGAACTATTTAATTCTCAAATACTTATTACTTCTTAAATGAACATTTCCCTAATATCATATTAATATATCATTTATAGAGGACAACTTTATTGACCTTCAAATATAGAACCTCTTTAATTTTTAGTGTTTTAGTGTTGGTTTGGAGATGAAAACACTTTCACTTTTGTGTTTTTAATGTTGGATTGAAGATGCCCTTAATGATTGAGTCAGAGATGGACTTAGGACATCTCCAATCCAACACTAATAAATAATATTAATTACGCATTCCCGATGGCGAATATAATTTTATACACATTAACTTCATTACGCAGAGAGTAAAATTACGATTTTCATCCCTGTTGTTTGTTAATAATTTTGATTTTCGTCCTACTATTTAAAAATTGCCATTTTCATCCCTATGGTTTTTAATTTACTAGTTTTTTTCGTTCCTGGACCAATTTCTACCTTTATGTACAAAGGACTAAAACAGTAAAGAATTGCAAACCATAAGGACCAAAACATCAACTGATTGTAATTAAGGATAGAAATAACAATGAATTTCAAACTATATGACAAAAACCACAATTTCTAAAAACAGAGACAAAAATCACAATTTTTAACAGATGAAATATCATAATTTAGTCTTGTGCAAATATAATGATTCAAAACAAATTTTAAGGGTCGTTTACTAAACGCTTAACGAGTAGGTGTTTGTCGAATGTCACTTACGCTACCTATAAGTAAGAGACAACGGTCTTACTCCGTATACGCTTACCAATAATCTATTTTAATAGCTGAGAATGTTACCCGATAAGTTAGTGAGAGTGGTAATTCTTGCAGGCAAGCACTTACACGATAAGCATTTGGTAAACAGCCCCTAAAGTAAAACTGGTAAAACAAAATGACCAATGTACTAACTAGTTACTATTTCAATTGGATTTAAATGATAAATAAAAAACGTAACGACCTCCGGGACATTAACATGAACATAAGTCGAAAACAAAAAACGACACCAGATGCCGCCCTTTAGTCACATACGTATATTTTAGCAAAATTAGCCTCGTCATGTATTAGAGAATATGACCAAATTAACATTTTGAACAAAAAATCGCTTTAAAACTCCCAAAAAATACTGTAAATTTTAGCAAAATGGAAATGGCAGTAGAAAGTAAACTACTCATTCCATGGAAATAGGATCCAGTTGAGTTTAAAACAAATTGAAACATGTTGATACTAAGGTTTACACTGGAAATGCTAATAAGTTGTTATGCAGACTTACTCGTCTTCCTGGCTGCGCAACCTGGCTAATTTGTTGGTAACGACAACATCCAATTGTGCTGCTCGCTCCACTATTTCTTTCCTTTTCCGTGTAGATACATTGTGTGCAATTTCAGCACAGTATGTCCTGATATCAGCACAGTGCTTATAAATCAATGTCAACAACAGTATAGAGAAGAGGGTCGCTAGGATCGATAATCATATAAACATAATGATGATTGCAGGAAACCAGAAAAATATTATGATGGTTCAACAATTTGCTCATAGATCCTTGTTCTATTTCATGAAATCTATAATGGATACAAACAAGAACATTGATGCCCCTTGTAACAAAATTCAAGCAGAAAGCGAATAAAACAAGAAAAATGGCAATCCAACCTTTGTAACAATGGGTTTTGGTTCGCAGTCACGCAGATGGGACTGGACTAGACTAGACGAGCAAGAGTAAGGTAGGAGAGGGAAAGAATTTTGAAAGGTTTTATTTTGACATGGGTAGTTTAGTACTTTACTAATTGTGCATCAGGTTTTAATTTGTTCCACCTATTTTGGTGGGACAAAAAAAAATTGCATGTTTGTCCGAGCCAAGGCTTGTAATGTCTCGGCCTGATGTCACGCCAAAGGCGGGATAAAAAGTTTTTGTGCTATCACGTCCCATCCCGTCCTCATCCAGGTACAAAACAACTCATTGTCGCTTGTAGCCATTCTTTAAATGAATTGGGTTGGGGCGTAACATCAGCTGACCCCCACCTTTTGCAAATATTTACTCTCATGCACAGATTAATGATGCAAAGAGGGGGCATATGATACTATCATCCATCTGCTCCCAAACACACACAAAAGTACCAATTTTCATTTCGGGGGTGTCGATAAAATTTCATGCCAAATACATCTTTTCTCATTAGTAGCCGGTACAAGAGGGTGATGATATTGACTTTGGTTCAAATATTGACTTTGGTTCAAATAATATGTCTGTTTCTTTCATTAATTACGATATTTTAGATACTTGATTAATAGTGAGTGATAATATTCATCAAATTATGGGCCTAAGAAAATGTAATAATTAATTCGGGATGTAGTAAAGTACCTATTGTGCATCATAAGGACTTCCACCTCTTTTGCGTTGTGCACCACAAACTTCTTGAAACCATTTGGAAGAAAGTGGCGAGTTTTCTTGTCTGATCCGTAACCAATGTTGGGCATAAGAGTTACTCCTTTAAACTTCCTCCTCACACGAGAATCAATACCCTTGGGCCTGCGCCAGTTTTCCTGCAACAAAAGATCAGAATTTGAAGTGAAGAATCTTCCAATATGCACTTGGTATTAACCATTTGAGCAAAACTACATGTGATTAAAACAAATTCCAAAAACACACAATCAATAGAACTCAGCTTTTACAACCAGGAAATCGTGAATATGTCATAAAGACAAGGAACCATTGGGAGAGTAAGAGCGAAGCATGGCCCAGTAAAACAAACAGCTGATAAGTGATAAATTACCAAGAAATGACTTAATCGGTCCCATGTATATCAATGATGCAAGGAATTGGATACATAGAACCCAAAAAACAGAAAAGAGATATGAACTGTTATATCTAGTGGTTTGAAGAATTATTTTTGTTGAATTATTCTATTTGATCTTTTTCGTTATAAGTTGATTGTTGTTGTAATAAAATGTCTAGAAATATACTAAAAATCATTAAGATATAATTGTGAAAAGAAATTATCATATCTGACATATTTCTGCAAAATTGCTCATATTGTAAAGTACTTTGTTCTTTTTGTATTTTAGAAAATGATGGTCTAGTTATAAGTTACAACAATAATCAGTGCAATGGTTCAAGATGTCAACAACTAATTCTTTTAATCGAATAACAATTACTGACTTTTGAACTATCATATAGGAATTTCTTGCATACACATCATTTTGCAAAAAAGCACAAGGAACATTACATTTTGCAAAAATGAGCAAATTTGGACCAAAGTATATGGAATCATGTTTCATTGCTACAAACAAAAACGTCTTTTGTGATTAGTATACATGATGGTTAGTTTGCAATAAAAAATCAAGGTGTTTCAGATAGTCGATCAATCAAGAAAAAACATTTAGCAGTAGCTGCATATTTTTATAATAAGGGGCTGTTTGTTTGGCTCTTAATGGTGACATTAAGAGCCAACCTCTTAATCGGTAAGAGGTAAGGGCTGTTTGGCAAAAAAAAAAATAAGCCTCTTAATGGTTACATTAACCTCTTAACCATTTTGTGTCTAGGGCCTCACTCAACCATTCAGATTGCATTTGTTCCATCTTTACCCTTCCACACCCCTTCTCTTCCAGCCATTTTGTGTCGCCTTCACGAGAACTTGTCGCCTTCCACAGCCATCGCCGGTCACCTCCACCGTCTCCATCGCCGGTCACCTCCACAGCTTCGCCGGTCGCCATCGCCGGTTACCCTTCCCACCCCTCTTTTCCAGCGATTGAGGAAGATACTCTGTTTATTTGGAACCCTAGTACTAGAAGATCGAACAGCTAGTCGAGGGCAGCTAGTCGAGATTCCTAGTACTGGAAATTGGAAGAAAATTGGTGATTTTCCTCATGGTAGTCCCTTGGATGATTCTGGTAAGTTTTCGAATGGAGCTCTTCATTGGGCAGCTAGTCGAGATTTCGGCTCATCTTACTCGTGGATAATAGTTTCTCTTGATTTAGCAAAGGAGACTTATGGTGAAGTTCTGCAACCTGTGCATGATGAAGGTGATAAGGATTTGGCATTGGGGTCTTTGGTAGACGGATTGTGTGATGAAGGTTTATGGAGTGAAAGATTCTTGGACTAGATTAGCTTCCATCCCTTATGTGACTGATCCTGGTAGGGATCAATTTTCGGTGCCTTGTGTATTTCGAATGATGGGAAAGTTTTGTTGCAATTTGGGTCCAAATTGGTTTTGTATGATATCAAGAATGGTTCATCCTCGGAGATTCAGAACTTTGATGAATGTCTTGAAGCGTATACCATTGTTGAGAGCATGGTTTCACCAGATGCCCCCATCAGGCACTGGAGATAACTATGAGGATGTGAAATCATCATGATACATCTTAACATGGTAAGCTTGTTGATAAATGGGTATTTGCATCATGATTTTGCTGTATTTGCATAACTTGGTTGTGAAATCATGATGATACATCCTAACATGGTAAAATGGTAAAATATGTAGTTATATTTGTAAAATAATTGTTTTATTCAGATATCTGTCAAACAGCTCTATTTCATTCAGTACTAAATCATTCAGAGGGTTAAAATGGTAATTTATTGTCATTCAGAGAACAGTTACCAAACAACATTATTTCATTCAGCACTTAACCATTCTGACCTCTTAACTATTCTGCACTAAATCATTCAGCAACTGCCAAACAGCCCCTAATTCCAAAGTATAAATCTAAATACATATTTTCACATATGAATGATTATGTCTTGCATAACTTATGTGATAGTTGACAACAATTTACTCTGTAACTACTAATAACTTACAGCATGAGATTTGATCACAAACACTAGATGTGCAGATCTTAACAGACATTTTCACAATAATTAAATCATATACAATTTTAAAGCATAAGGATGTGTAAGCTATCAGTGGCCACTTAATAAATTGTCCTCTGTAGTCACCCAAATCCTAATAAAGTTATAATGTGATTTTAAAATTTGAAACAATGGAGAAATATTGGGCAAAACAAATTGACTTGAAACTCTTACAGAGAATTTATCACATGTAATCATTGCCAAATGAGCAAAATGCACAAAATCCGTCCTCAAATTAAGTTGATAGTTCATGCTTGGTTGCTTTGTATGCTCTCTACAAGCAAACCGTGTACCCAATATTCATGTTTTGTGACTTTGGTTACAAGCATAATAAGAACCACAAAGGCAAATTTAAGCAGTATCTAAGAAACAAAAATCATGAAACTTACTTGATAGTGCATATAACATTACTGTTACTAGTAAAACATTGAGTAACACTCTGATGAAACAGTAAACTGGGCATTGTAACAAATAAAACACTTGTAGGTGTAGTTAAAGAAAACACATGAATATGTTGTTTCTTGAAACGGGAAAAATTCATATTTCCACCTCAAGTGGTGTATATATTTCAAACCAACATGACCACATTTCACATCCAATATGTTCAATAAAATGGTGAAAGCTGCTTGTGTTCAAATAAGAAACTGGTGGCAACATCATGAAACACAAAATTCCTTTTGCTAACAAAAAATAACTACTCACAAAATATGCAAATTGTACCTTGACACATATTTTCCAGTCACTCTGGGGCCTCTTGAACTTCTTGACCCGCTTCTTGACAATCTTCTTATCCAGCTTTGGGACAGCCATTGTGTTCTTTTAAAGAAATAAACAAATGGTTATTTTCCACATCCAAAATCTAATTTAAAAGAAAATCTAATTTCAACCTTGGTATCTGGGCCTATATAATTGGACAACTGATGACATAATCGGTCACCATGCTTGTATGTTTCATGGAACAAACTTTGATAGATTATTAGGATCCAACCAGTTCTACATCTAATAGGCTATACTCCCACTATCACAATAAACCATTCCAGTTTTCTTTTTAAAATTCACTCCTTGAACTTCAAATCGGAACAGTTTTATCTGTCTATTCAAAATGTTTCGTTGATGTTGTAGTCTAATCTACTACTCACCCCATTCTATGAATATAGCAATATTCCATTTGGGAACATAGCAAGAAAACTTATCAATTCCCCTTCTCTTAACAAATGCTAAGCTAAAATTAGGGTTAAAAGTTACCGTCCATCATCATTACAGCACATTGATTCAGTTACCTTGTTCCACTTGATAAGTGAGGGCATATAGACATTTTATCATTAATAATTTTTTTTTATTGAACTTCAATAATCAAACATATTTAGGCATGTTAAACTAAATCCTTCACGTAATCAGATCACAACCATAGTACTATTTTCTCTAATAATCATCCATTTTCTTAATTCTTTTAGGGAGCATCATTAGCACTCAGATTACAATCAGGATAACAACAACTTTCACAAATTACATGATACAAACTTACAAATGTTGAATCACAACAATTGAAACATATGATCCTCAATATCAGGAACGCTAAATTGAAGAACAACAAACATTAAAAGTGGTGGAATAAACATAGACAACACCCTATCCAATTGTTGTTGTACTAAATTCTTAAAATCATGTAAGAATTGCAACAATCGTGTGTGTGAGATGTCGATGCAACGATAAAGGAGAAGCTTCAAACCTGCTGCTGACTGAAGCGAAGACGATGATGAATTAATGGCGATAGAAATCTCCTTCCGTTTGAAAATTTTAGGTTTTAGGGTGTTTGTGGTGGATTGTGATCATCATTGGGCCAAATTCTCATGTACAGGCCCAGTTCTTTTCCCCAGCCCATTTTTATACCCAGTGGGCCAAATTCTCATGTACAGGCCCACTTCTTTTCCTCAGCCCATTTTTATACCCAGTGGGCCAGTAGTGTTTCAATTATGCGACTTAAAATACGTATATTTTAACTTTAAAAAATAATATGTATATTTTGAATAAACTAGAAGGATACCCGTGCAATACATCGAGATACATTTTGATTTCAGTGTTTCGTTTTATTTCTTTTTATGTCGATATAACACGGTTTTATGTGGTTTTGAGAAAACGATAATGTTTTTATTTTTGAATAAAATATAAATTTGAAAAAAATATATATCGATATCAGTATCAAATTAATCTTTTTAAAAGTTCTTGTGCTTTGATGTAATTTTTTTAATTCAAATTTTTAATTATAATTTAGATTTAGATTTAGTAACAAAAAAGTTTAATTTAGGTTTAATAATATTTTTTTTATAAAGATAATAACTAAGTATTCTGTTATAACTCAATGATTCTCCTAATTATATTTTAGATTTTTTATATTTAAAATGAGATATTTATCCAATATTTGATTATGTTTATTTGCAATTAGCTATACGAATTCAAATATGGAGCTTTAGTAAGTTGTACTTATGTACAATTTACTTGTAATCTTAAATTTTAAGTAATATGCATTAATAAACAATACTTCGTGCATAAAAAATAGTTTTTAAGAGTTTTTGTCAAATGCTTTATAATATAGTATAGATAAAATTTTGTTTTAGGAAAAAACGAAATTAAACAACAATAACTCAATAAGTAGAGATTAGAAATCAGATATTTCCATTAACCATAATTTTTATAAGATGAGTTACAAATAGATAAGCATGAGATATATCGGTTCTAACCTATCTCTAATATGTCTATCTCAATCGTCAATGACACACTTATCCTTCAACCAACTTTGAATTTATATTTTTTGTAATTATGGGTTTTCGGACCAACTTTCATGCACCATGTTAAGTTTTATGTAACTGTGAGCCACCTTACATGCACCGCTAATCCCTAGTCGTCCACGAATGTCTAGAGTCATTGCAGATGAACCTCTATGGCCACAAGGGTTTGACAATGCATAGATTCGAATTCAGAGTAGATGAGATTTTCCGCTACATCATTAGCTTTAAATCAGTATTAGATATTTTTGAATTATAAACATTTAAATAAGTCTTCTAAACATATATTTTCTAAAATAAAAACATGTTCTTTTGCTAAGGTACTTTTACCCTGAATACTACTAATAATTTGTAGTAATAACGAGGGATGGTAACGGAGCGGGGATGGGGATGGGGATGGGACGGGGAACCCAATCTCCGTCCCCGTCCACGTCTCGTTCCCCACCGGGGAATTTGATCACATTCTCATCCCCGTTCCCAACAGGGAAACGGGCATTTTTTTCCTGTTTGTATAAGTTTTTTTTAGAATCAAATGTGTGAGACGTTACACATGTTTAAATCTCACATTTTTCCAATAAACCTAAAATCAAAAGAAATTTAATTTAATACAAAAAATATACATCATCATATAATAATTAATAAATCGGAAAAAAAAAAATTAATATCACATGTACCAAAACATATTGAGTAATATCCAAAACCACATCTAGTAATATCCAAAATATATTGAAATAGAAATTACTATTTACCGATTTCATATAAATAAATAATATATAATATAATTTATCAATTAATATATATACGGGTACGGTACGGGGCGAGGCGGGGAGTGTGATACCCGTCCCCGTCCCCGGTTTGAGCCAAACGGGGATCCCCGTCCCCGAGACCCGGTTTAACAGGGATTCCCCGTCCCCGACCGGGGCGGGTAGGCCGGGTGCCCCGACGGGTCGGGGCCAATTCCCATGCCTAGTAATAACTAGGTAAAATTCATCAAGATGTAATAAATTTTGACGTAGCTGCTACGTAGTGTAACGTATTTCTCCATCGATGTAATAAAGTTTCAAAATTTTCAATTATGTACTCATTTTGATTGTTAACCTGTTTATCTTGTAACATTTGATGACGTTGATACTCATTTATAAAAGGGTTATCACGAAGTACACGATAAATTTGACATCGACATCACCAAATGTTACATAATTCCCCAAAGCCTCGCCAAATCTAGCCCAAAAACGCAATCTTTTTTGTTTTATGGGCTACAAGCTTGGAATGATAGGGTTATAATCCATCAAAGACCATACAACTTTATCTGCTCGTTTCGTTAAATGACGGTTTATGAAAGTTATATTACAGACAAATCTTACCTTCGGGTTTTTTTTCAAGATTTCACTGAGGCATGGCGTGTTTTACACCAGATATATGATGTTTTCTACCATAATCTGTTCATTTAAAAGCCATCGAGTCAAAATTTAAAAATTAAGACCATTTAGGAGTCGTTTACCAAATACCTACCTGGTAAGTGCTTACCAATACAATTTAACACTATTATATACTTACCAGGCAAGATTTTAGTCTACCAAAACAACATCATATGCAACAATTTACCCGGTAAGTGTTTACTATAGTAAGAGTAGTCGCCCTCACTTACTGGGTAAGACTTTTGGTTCTTGTCTCGCTCTTACCATGTAAGATTATTGGTTCTTACCATATCCATCCGATGAAGTAATGTGACTTGGTAAATGCTTACCCGAGTAAGCGTTTGGTAAGCAGCCCCTTAGTTAAAATGAGTGCAACTCGAACCTAGTTTAAACCAAACCAAATCAAACCCAAACATATATGGTATATCTTATTTGGAATTGGGTCTTGGAAGGTATGACTTAAACGGACATTTTCTCTACCCTAAATATAAGAGACCGTTTATCTAAACACTTACTTGGTAAGTGCTTACCGGTAAAATTCAAGGGTAAGATTTGAGTCCACCAAAATGACATTGTATGTAATAATTTACCCGGTAAGCGCTAAACATGGTAAGGGTTGTCGCCATCACTTACCGAGTAAGACTTTCGGTTCTTGTCTTCGCTCTTACTGGGTAAGATTTGTGGTCCTTATCATATTCATCCGGTAAGATAATGTGACTTGTTAAACGCTTACCCATGTAAGTATTTAATAAACGGATCATAAAACAGCTTGTTTATGTTAATATTTGATCTTGGTTACAATATCTTAAAATCATGCATTTTTTCTAAAAAAATATCAATTTAAAAAAGGTTTTTTTCAATTCTTGGAATATTTAAGTATCCAACCTTAAATGACATCCGTCTTGCATGCCGATTTAATACATTTCATATCTTTTCATACTTGGGGCCGTTTACTCAAATGTTTACCCGATAAGTACTTACCGATATTAGTCAACACTATAATTTATTTTTCTGGGTAAATTTGTAGTGCATCAAAACGATATAATACGCAAAAATTTACCCGGTAAGCGTTTACCCGGGTAAGAGTCGTCACTCTTACTTACTGGGTAAGACTCTCCATTATTTCACCACTCTTACTGGGTAAGATTCTCCATCATTTGACCGCTCTAACCGGGTAAGATTCTAAACCCTTGCCATGTTCATTCGGTAAAGAAAATTACTCGGTAAGCACTTATTGGATAAACGCTTATTAAACGGCCCTTCAAAATTTTGCAAATTATGTTATATCGATTTCGAGATTATTTCAACGTTTTCCTTTGTTTACGACATAAACGTCTCAAAGTTGGTAAAATCTTCTCTAAAATTGCATCATATGGTATAAATTTGTTTAGATAACGTGTCTAAAATGCATAAATTACACAACAAACGTTCACATAACCGAAAACTAATTTTTGAATAGCAAACACTATTAATCTAATAATACGGTAAATAAGTTTGAAACCATTAAAATATTTTTCCAGACAATATAAATGCGAAGGAATTTTAACTACAAGGGTGGTGCCTGATTGGTTTGAGTTTGGCTCCAAAGGTCAAAACGCCTTGGGATTAGTCAGCTCTCATAGCGGGTTGGATATCCAGGTTAATAAAAAAAATGCGAAGGAATTTGTCGATATTATTTGTTGTTTAGCTCCCTTTCAAAAATTCGTGATTAGTTAGCTGTCTCAGACATACCTTATTGAGCGATTTTCATAAACATTTAGGTGACGTTTGGTTTGATGGAATGGTTTGAAAGGATTTGGATTTTGTGAAAGGATATGGAATTAGAGGGATTTGGATTTGGAATTGGAATATTTGGGTGTGTTTGGTTTTTAGGATTTAAAATGTAATTGAATTCCATTATTTATAAATAATTTGTAATAACAAATTACAAATAATTAAATTATCTTATTATTAATCAGTTACTTGAAAACAAACATTTTTAACATATTTTAAAATTATTATTTACAAATACTTCGAAATCCCAACCACTCCGATGGGATTTCAAAATCCTATGTTTGAGGGATTTCAAAGAAATCCTAGTATTTCAAATCCGAGCAATCTTACAATCCAAACACAGGATTAGAATGGATATCAATACCAGATCCCCCAAAATCCTTTCAATTCCTACAAACCGAACGTAGCTTATTTTTGCTTACATGTTTTCGAAGATCTTGAAAATTGACATATACTTGAAAATTGACATATATATTTTGTATATAGAGAGAGGGAGGTTCAAACTAGAACAGTAACTAAAATAAGAGAATACGAAAACAGTCAAATCACGTATAAAATCACACGTGATTTATATTAAAGGTTGACAAAAGGGTGTGCGGGCGACATAGCTTGCAACCTCACATCACGGTCAAAATACGTGCCCTTAATGTAAAATCACTTGTGATTCCATCGCTTTCTTATTTTCTTATTTGGTTATTGTTTTCGTATGAAACCGACTATATATATATATATATATGCATAAATAAAAGAGTTGACTTTAAAAGTAGTACTGATTTATGTATGCAACTAACATTAAGAGCAAAGCTTTGTTCCTGGTTGACAGTGGTGACAATGGGGATCAAATGGGGTGAATAGTGGCTCTTTTTGGTGCGTTTGATTGCTGACTCGATGAAACAGGACGGGGATATAAAAACTAGTCCTATACTTAGCATGTCATGGAACAAGAGCAAGATGGAACAAAAATAGAGATATTTTGTTCCACCTAAAAAAGTGGAATAACCTTGCTCGTTTTTACAGTTTTATCCCGTCATGTTCAGCTTACCAAATTCAAGACTGATAATTAGTATAGTCGTGTTCTAGTTGTATCAAAACGTGGAACAGACAATTAGTCTATCCAATCCTATTTCTCCGATCCCCTCCGGGCTGAACACCAGATCCCACCTCCGGGTGTAACTGTGTAAGGCGGCTCAGAGAGATTTGGTCTGTACTATTTTATATAACCAAATTTGAAAGAATGACAACATACAGATACAAAAAGACAAGTAAAAATGGTGACATAAACTAATTCATATTTTGTAACAATACAACTGATGACAATATACAAATGTAAGATTTGAACTCAAAACCTTTTAAATTACTGAAACAAGCTTCAACCACTTCAAATGCTTGTTCAGGAGAGAGAATCAATGTTCAGTAGTACGCCTGGTTCACCGGGTTCTACCACTTCAGGTCCCAATCTTTKTTTCCTAGGTGCTCATTTTGTATGGGCTTTTAGTTTAATGCTCAACATGTCACTAATTACAGTTTTCTCAACGCTCCTTAAATTATGAGAGAAAAATGCGAAAGAAAACATCATATACAATATGAAAAATTAGTGATATACAAGGTGTATCTATGTATTTTGCTCAAGAAATAAAACAAAAATAAGTTGGTAATTTTGTTTCTATTTTTTTTAATCTCTAAACCACACTTGGGAGGGTGCAATGAACAAATAATTAAACAAGTTCTAACCAGCCAGGCAAACCCAACTAGACTAAATACAACTAACATAGGATCAATGAAACAACTGTTTTACTCTTTAAGGTAGAGGGCAGGTTTATGTACATCCCACCTCCCTGACCCTACTTATGAGTTGATATATTAGGTCCGTTTGGTTTGGTTTAGATGAAGTCAAGGAGGAATTGTTTACCTCTGAAAGTAACTAGTTATTCGCGCTTTGACTGTATGAGTTGGCTCCTAAGGCTGCATTCCTCTATCTGCGAAACAAGAACAAAAAAGATCCAATTTCAAGACAAAATCAAGTTATGCATAAGGACGATGCTGGCTATATATCCCACTCGCTGCCGAATTTGTTTCAGTTGAAATTCTAAACGATAACTTAACGGAATAGCATCCGGAAAATTAAGACTAACTCGTGATTATCTGATTATGGGTTAATCCTTTTGATCTCAGTGAATGTCTAAATTATGCTCTAAAACTAAAACATATAGTAACAATCAAGAAAAACCCCTCTTGGATATTTGTCTATTATTATTTATTTATTTTGGTAACCATGAGTGTCTGAGTCAGCTTTGGTGGCCTCAACTAATCTCATGAGACCCTGATGATAACAATCATGAAAATCCCCGTAGCCCAAGAGACTCAAACTTGCGACCTACGGCTATGAGGAGGAGCCCCGGGCCTATAAAAGATAAATAGGATAGAGTTTGACCGAGTGCTCTTATTTATTATAATTGAGGGGTGTTCTAGAAATTTGAAATGGGTAAAGTAGCAAGCATGTGTGGTAGCTATTGATAAACATACCAAACAAGATTGCACCCCCTCTTAAGATCATTAAAAAAAGATAAACAAGCCAAAAGAGCTTAACAGAGTAAAAGATAAATGCGAAATAAAAACCAGAGAACCCATTATATCTCACAAAAGGTAGGGGAGGATATATGGAGACCTTTGCTCTACTCCAAAGGGTAGAGAGAGAGAGAGGGGTTATTTCCGTGAAGACCCCCGACTTGCAGAACAAAGATAAGTTAAAAAAACCAGCATAAAAACAAAAGTGTGTGCAAGCACGCAACGACACAAAAGAAAACAGGGACACACGAGAGACATATAATAAAATGAAAAAGAAGAAAAACAAGTGATATAACTATTATTTATGAAACCAAAGTTGTATAATCCATTATAGAATCAATTGGCACCATATCTATATAGTGTCAAGCAACCAAACTATTGGATGACACATGCTGATCTTTATGGGGTCTAACAACACATTCAAAAGATGTTGAAAAGAGTAACTACTTTCAAGTGATATCTATTTGATATAATCTAATATTCCAACTCACAATAATGAATGCTCTTACCTGTAAAGGAGCTGCAGAAGCCAAAAATATTTCACATTCATCAAGAAGAAATCTTTCGTGTGATACTATCTTGGCAAGTTCTGAGGCCAGGATATGTGTTCCGTCCAACTGTAACAAGCCAAAGATAGTCAGAAGATGGACTACTTTTAAGCATAAATCCCCCAACAGACTCCATACTTCTGAAAACATCAAATCAGTTTACCCGTCTACCACCTTCCTTAATAGATGATGAGATCTCTCTCTCTCTCTCTCTCTCCTTCGTGTGTATATATATGGGACAGGGGCATCAATTGCGAACCTCAAAAATGTTGAGAACAAAGCCTAACCATTCAATGATTTTCATTTTAGGCTAGAATTCAAGGTGGTGTTATAATTCAAGCGTGTGTGTTTATATGATTTTTATAAATGAAACGTATTTACACTAATGTGAAACAATTTTGAAACAACACTTTTACGTTTCAGATGTGAAACTGGTTCTCATAGTTCAACATTTTTCTGGCTCTCATTTGATTTGCCCCCTATATATATATATATAGGAAGTGGATCCATGGTCAATGTTGTCACTGGACCAGATTGAAAACAATGCATCACCCCCCCCCCCCAAATTGTATGATCCAATGGTAATGAATAATTCAAAATCTAGACTATAATATGATACACCACTGAAGGAAGATAGAGAAATTGCAGTAGTAATTGAATGATTGAAAGGAACTCCAGCAATTCGAGAAGTTGGGATCTCCCACGCTCCCGCCAAAAGTCAGTATACAGAAATTACATACCTGACAACCAACATATCTCTTACTTATAACTCCCCTCAAACAGAATAACACAACTTATTGTATATTCCCCGAAATACACCTCCCCCCTTATACCACTTTCTGCCCCTCCTAAGCTACCTAATTCTTATTGTCGGTTTATCATAGTAGTCATTACATAAACAGCAATGTATTTCCTACCATCCCCAGACCCTGTTCCATATGGGATTTACTGGATTTGTTTGATTTATCTAGATTATAGTATATTAGGTAGGGCGGGTAGGGTGAATTAATCATGGTCAGTAAACCACATAATGGACGACCTCTCACGTAATGCATATGAATCAGTCAAGAGATATGTGTCCTAGATAACATCCACCAATAATGAGATGCCCAATTTCTATGAAACAATGGGATATAACAAAAAGGAAGGAGCAAAACTAAGTAATATCCATGTTGCCATTTACAAAAATGATCTCCATGCTGCACAAATTGGTACCAGAAGGTAATTGAAAATACTTCACATAGCTAACAGCAACCTAGATATAGAATGCAAAAGAAATCTCACCTTTGATAGTGTAGACTCTATAGAGGACGTTGCTGTCTGCATTAATTGGACAACTGATGAAACAGCCAACTTCAAAGCTTTAACATCTACCTGTGAGTTGTAAATTGAATATTACTCGATATGTTAAGTGATGTAAGTAGCCTTTCAAGAAATGACATACCTGTACCCCTTCAGTAGTAGGAAGTCGAAGAGTTCTCGCATATAGATCTGTAGTGGTAACAGATAAAGCAGATTCGTACTCCCTTTGAATCAACCCCCACTCATCAATATAGGCCATCTGAGGCACAAGATGCCGGAATGAGAGATATAAAACAATAATTAAATAAACAAAGAAAAAAGAAAGATAAGAGAATGTAATGGGTAGAACTGGCAGAACTAGTACTTTCTAATTTACTAAGGCCATTTTTGGCAACCATAAACTAGCTTTTCTTTTGAGCATATTAGAAAAAAGCCTTGTTTGGTTATGCATAAGCTAGATTTTTGAATCACAACTTATATTAGTGTTTCAATAAGCTTCAGGGGATTTTTGCCATGTTTTTTTTTCCAATTACGCCCTTGTATTTTTCTAATTAATTTTGCAAAACGTCCTATTAGATCATTTTACAATGTCATCTAGTTTTTACCAAACATAAGTAGCTTATCAGCCAACAACAAGCTTATCAGCTAGTTTACCAAACATAGCCTAAGAAGTGCAAGTAATCCTTATAAATAACACAAACAATAAACTCCAAAATATAATAACTAACTCTGACACCAGATCATCAACAGAATAACAGAGATCAGAAACACTTCATATTATTATGATCATCATCAGTTGGCACAAAGACACATTCAGGCCCTCCCTAAGTAGTATCAGGAGAAGCTGATTACAACTTCGACTCATATTGATGAGCTCGGCTTGACCCTAGTCAACATAGAACAAGCCAAACTAGTAGTTTCTAATTTATGTAGAAGTGTAAAAGAGTACACATAAAATGACAAGAAGACAGAAAAAAAAGTTACTAATACTTTATCTAATTCTGGCGCCAGACCATCAAAAGAATGACATAGATCACAAAGACCTACTATCAGCATCATCATGACCTACTATCATCATCATCATCATCATCATAAATTCAGCACAATGACATATTCAAGCTCTCCTCATGTAGTGAACAGAGAAGTTAAACTTATAGATTTTTCCAGCTTGGCCATAGTCAACATAATCTCTAAAGTTTTTTTTTTTTTAAACTGGGACATGAATGATGGTCCATAATTTTGCTAAATTGCAAGTTTCTTGTCTAATTTTCAATAAAAACATTGTGTATAATACAAATGATATCAAAGAAATGATGTCAATCCTCGGTATTCTAGCTGTTCATTTTTTCCTAATCTTGATAAGTTGTTCCAGCTGAAATTACAGTTCTATCTGCTGCAGAGAAAAAAGAGTACTTTTTGTGCAAACTTTACGGAATCCAAGAACAATTTTTAGTTGCAGTTAGAACAATGTAAGAAAATGCATTACTTGTCGGAATAAAATAGCATAGAGCTTTAGCTGCAGTATCAACTGGTTGATATCCATTTTCATTGCAGCTACAGAATCCCATAGTTCTAAGATAGTTCTCCACATATCGAATAAAGAATTCTGCATTACAAAATACAATATTTATCACTATCAAGTCTTCTCCAAATGATGTATGCGTGAAAGTGCAACCAATTACATGAAAATTTAGCTGAAGGGCCAATAATACAACTTTGGAACAAAAGCCAGAAATTAAGTTGTATATTCATGTATTGCACTGCAATAACTCCAAATTCATATTCTATACACTTTGTGAGGTCATTATTCCATTAATTCATTTCAATGCATTGTAAGATGAGATTTTAAAGCATCTTACCTTAACCAAGAAGCAGTGGATCAAATGAAATTTTGTGCAACGCATAAAAGAAGCTAAAACCATGAACAATAGGAAAGTGACAAATGTAAGCCTACAACTAAAGAAATTGAATATATGTTCAGTAGTGCTAAAGATACAAACCTCAGCAGTTACCCTTTGAAGATCCAACACAGCTTCTGCACTCGCATTAACGAATTGCCACTGCACTTGTATATTGCGAAGTAGATCTAAACGTCGGGCATCTTCTTTATTCTTTTCCTTTTGCCTGTCAGCATATTTCGTGAACATAGAAAGGATACTTGAACTGAAGAATAGTCTTGAACCAGATGACCTTCGAGAACGATGACTGCCCCCTCTAGTGGAAGGAGAAGGATCAATTTCTGTGAAGATAGGAACTGTATTTGAATCGCAAGACTGATGTGGACTAGATGGCCTTGTGGAAGTAGTATTGACTCCTCTACCGGAGGGGCTAGGGCTGACCCCCCTAGTAGAAAGGGAATGGCTCATCTCTTTCAAAGGAGTAGGACTGACCCCTCTCGTGGGTGCAAGACTGATCTCTTTAATGGGATAAGGGCCAATTCCCATGGAATTAGAAACTGTATTTGAATTGTAGGATTGTCTTGGACTAGATGGCGTTATGGGAGTATTGTTTTCAGGTGGAGGGCTGACTGATTTTGCGTTGGGGGTAGGACTGACCCCTCTTTCAGGAGGTGTAAGGCTGGTTCCTTTAATGGTGGGGGTAAGACTGACCTCTCTTGTAGCTAGGGAAGGAGTAACCCCCCTGGTGGCGGGAAAAGGACTGCCTCCTCTTGTAATGAGAGAAGGGTTGACCTCTCTAGTGGCAAGGGAAAGGTCGGTCTCTTTAGAGGGAAGGAGTGGATCCACCTCCTGGATAGTAGGGGAAGGATTGACCCTTCTAGTTGTGGGGGTAAGACTGACCCCTCTGGAGGTGCGGGTAAGACTGACCTCTCTGGTGGCAGGGGTAAGGCTGACTCCTCTAACAATAGGGGAATAGTTGACGCCTTTGGAGGGGGCAAGACTAGCCCCTCTAGAAGCAGGTGAAGGGTTGACCCTTGTACGTGATGAACTAACACTTCTTGAAGCTAAACTATATGACTTCCTTGGTGAAGATGGTTGTGATGAACTTGAAACAAGATTGGATATTCTTTGTAACTTGTCAATTTCTAACCTATCATCATCAGCAACTGACGCAGATATTCTTTCTGACTTGTCAGCCTTCAACCTACCATCATCAACAAGTGATGATGATAATAGATTCATAGCATCACTTGAAGATTCTTGTATGGGCTTATTAGCATAATTGGGTAACATTTTCTTGAGGTTAACACCTGTATCAGGTGTGAAACAAGTTTTCACAACTTCATTAGAAGGATTAATGTTTCTATTTAAAACATTAGAACCTATTGTGCCAGGCCACCGATGCTGATTAACTAGTCTACCATGAGAACCATCTGGAGCTTTCGAATTTTCTGACTGATCACTAACATTAGAACGTATTGTTTCAGACCATCGATGCTGGTTAACTAGTCTAACATGTGAACTATCTGGAGGTTTTGAATTTACTGACCGACCAATAACATTAGAATCTATTGCACTGGGCCATCGATTTTGATTAACTGATCTAACATGTGGGTCATCTAAAATTTTTGAATTCTCTGGTTGATCAATAACATTAGAACCTGCTGTGCTGACATGTGAGCCATCTGAAGGTTTCAAATTCTCTGACTCATCAATAACATTAGAAGCCGTTGTGTTAACATCGGAGCCATCAGGAGGTTTTGAATTCTCTGACTCATCAATAACATTAGAATTTTTTGTGTTAACATCAGAGCCATCTGGAGGTTTTGAATTCTCTGACTCATCAATAACATTAGAACCTATTTTGTTAACATCTGATCCATCTGGACATTTTGCATTCTCTGACTGATCAATAACATTAGAATTTATTGTGCTAACATCTGAGCCATCTGAAGGTTTCAAATTTTCTGACTGATCAATAACATTAGGATTTGTTTTCCTAGGCCGACGATGCTGATTAATTGGTCTAACATGTGAGCCACCTAGAGGTTTTGATTTTTTTCCTTTGAGATGAGTCTTCTCCCTCTCAGGTGTAGGCTTACTTGATACAGGCAACTTTGCAGTTTTTTCATTTGCAACATTCAAGGATGTCTTAGAGGTGTGATCAGAAAGGGACTCATTAGAAAAATTATCTCGTTTAGCATTGGGTATAGATGATGCATCAGATTGAAGATGAGAACTTGAACTGCTCCTTCTTGAAGGCCATAAAGACTCTGTGAGCCTATTGCTAATCACCTTTCTAGCCACAGCTCCCACACCATGGACTGCAGCAGTGGGCAGTCCCCATGGTGATGGCAGTGTTGCATGTCGCCTCTTTTCTGATGATACAGATCTATGTGGAGTAGATGATGACACTGCAGATGTTTCAGTTGAGTTTGAAGAAGGAATACGTGTTAATGTAGGTGATTGTGACCTAATATGAGACTCCTTAAGATCTGATGGTGGTCTTGGGTTATTTGATGAGCGATCTGATTCATGAACATCCATCCACACTATTGAAATCCGACCACATTTATATCTTCTTTCACATGATCAACACATTTACCTATCCTTGTAAGAACAATCTGCATATGCACCAAGTATTGAACATGTTAGAATTACTTTATAAGAAGATCATTTTTCTAACAACTAAAAAGTACAACCTACACCAAAATTGAATGCATTATTTTAAAATCTTGATCCCCTAGTAGCCCTAAACCTTCAACTAAACTAATTATGTAAAAAATCCCAATTTCGTCGTTAACGACCCTATATTTAACCTCGATTTTGGAATTCAACAATATAATCATAAACATATGATAATCCTAACAATAATAACTTGAAATGTACACAATGCACACCCGATTTTCTTGTGCATAAGACAATATTAATGAAGAAAAAGGAGGAAAATTCATTAATCTAACCGGTAATCACGTCAATCGTATGTTCCCAAACGTTAATCAAATTGAACAGAATCGTATTCGCGAAACGGCTAATCATCCAATCCAATGTCGGGAATTGAGAGAGAAGGAGAAAGACTCAGGTTTTCCAGCAAGCGGTTGAAGGAGGAAGACAAGCTGAGAAGTATGTTTTGGCGCCATGGAGACCCTGACTCTGATCTCCCCAAATCTTTCGGGTATTTACTTCCCTTTTTTTATTAACCAACGATGGTAAAGAAGTTGCAACGGTCTGTTATGACCCTGTCAAACACAATATTCAAACATGTTTTCTAAAACTCGCTTCTAATATATAAATTAGCGAGTAAATCATGTTTTTAGTCCTTGTGGTTTGTTAAATATTTCAATTTTAGTCCTTATGATTTAGAAATTATGATTTTTTTTCTTATGATTTGTAATTTATTGTTATTTATTAATTTATAATTTATTGTTATTTCCGTTCCTATGGTTTACAACTCTTTATCTTATGTAGTGTTTGGTACGCAGACTGGACTGGACTGGACAGGACGGAACGGGACGAGACGGGATATGACTAATTGTTTGTCTCATGTTTGGTACGACTAGGACAGGACATGACAAAATTGTTAAAATGACCATATTCCCCTTAAATGTTGTTCAATGTTATTTTATATCAAAAAAATTTCAAACGAACAGAATCAAGATCATTTCTATAGCATCAAAACAGGTTTCTGTGAAGAAATGTTTGCTGAAATGCAAATTACGTTTTTGGAAGATTATATGATTTATGGGAACTGGTTTTTATGGATTTTTGTGTAATATTCGAAGAGAATGGAAGAAGAAGCATAAGAAACTACACAAAAACACAGACTGTGTGGGCATTTTTGGAAATATATAATTAATTATTTTTTATAATAATTATATAATTAATTATTTTTTATAAATTGTGGTAGAGACGGGTCAATGAAGGAGGTTGTGGTAATTAGGTTTTCTATTGGAAACATGTGTAATATAGTTAATTGATATTTAGTCTCATGTTGTTCCACCTAAAACCATCAAGTTTTGTCACATGAAATTTAAAAATAGTCTCATCTTGTCCCGTGTATTTTTTGTCCATGACATGCGAAACATGAGACTTTTTTTTTTGTGTCGTCCCGTCCCATGTAGTCTGCATACCAAACGCACCATAAAAGTAGGAATTAGTTTAGGACGAAAATAGTAATATATTACAAACCATAGGGACAAAAATTATAATTTCTAAATCATAAGGACAAAACTTTATATTCTTAACAAACACAAGGACGAAAATCATAATTTACTCTAAGTTAGACCCTATGAGTTGTAAACCAGCGAGCTCAAGTTGAATATCAATATAGAAAAACTTAAATGGAACTCGAGCTCGGCTCAAAAAAATTATATGAGGGTCGAGCTCGAATAACTTGTTCAAAGCAGGGTTCGAGCACAGACTCGAATATTATTTGGATTATCGAGCTTGATACTCGTTTATGGACTCAAACTCGCAATTGATTATTTTGTTTATTGGCTCAAGTTCGATGACTTTTATATTTTAATGCACAGGTATAATTTATGATTATATGAGAATATTTGGCTCAAAAAGGGTACACTCGAATAAGTCGGCTCTGGTCGACTCGACTCGAAAATGTAATCGAGTTTTCGAATGATAGGAGTCGAATATTGGTATTACGAGGCTCAACTCAGTAAGTTAAATGAGTTTTATTTTGTGTTCGAGATCAACTCGAGCTCGATAATTATTAAGTTCGAGTAGCTCGTTAAAAGCTCAAATCATTTACATCCCTATCTATAATTTACATCCCTATCTATAACTGCCCATTACCTGCCAAGCCACCGAGGTGAGAAATCCATGCTCTGTTATGGATAAGTGCTCTCGGTTCAACCACAAGGGTGATGCCTGATTGGTTTGAGCTTGGCTCCAAAGGTCAAAAGTACCAGGAGGTCTCAGGTTCAAATCCAAGGAGGAATAAAAATCCCCTTGTGGCCACGGATTAGTCGGCTCGCATAGCGGGTTGGATATACAGGTTAATAAAATTAAAAAAAAAGTGTTCTCAGTTCGGTTATGCTAGTAAGGAAATGTGAACCAAAATGCATGAGGCAGATACCTAGCTACCTGAATCGAACTGAAATAAGGTGGTTACCTACGTTTCACTTCATGGTTACCCAAATTTATTAAAAAAAAAATATTATTTGCAATATAAAAATGGTGCCAAAATGTTTCATTTAAAATAATTAACAATTAATTAAATATATTCCGAACGCTACAAATTAAAATAAACTTAATTGTTTAAAAACATCAAATTTTCGGTTAATATTGACTTGTTCACGACTTTGTATCACCAAATTTTAATCATCCGCCGTAATGCTTAACATCAAACGTAAAAGACCCTTCTCACAAAAACTCTCTTTTATATTTGCCTTTAGAAGAAGGCGGTTTTTGAAAGAATTAATAATACTCTTTTAATAACTCATGCACCTTTCTTCACATAACATGTGCGCGCACACATGCATATCGACTTTTCATGCCTACACACATTTATGCACCAGATATATTTCATGCAATATATATATATATATATATATATATATATATTCTCATGCATGAAAAATATACACAGTCACATCTTAATTTCATGTAAGCATATATCCACATGATCAATTATAGTAGTTAATCCAATATTTACATGATCATATAATTAAGTAATCACACGTAATAATTACCTCAGGTGCATAACCAGGACTCGGTTATCACACACCTCATCATCGCAATGTTTTACTTTTATAATTCTCATGGTAGCACATCATCACCCCAAGGTCTTACTTATATATATATATATATATATATATATATATAAAGATATATGATAATATAATATAATTAATTTTGCATTATAATTTCTACCATTTGATTAGTTTGGTTTCCAACCATTATTATAAATTTCAAAGAAGGTCATCCAAAGAAAGACAACCATATGAGGCTAACCTCATTATTTGACACAGAGACATCCAATCCACCTTTCTTATACACTTCATTTTGTTCAAATCTTTGAACTCTTCATCAATATGGGATATCTCAAACTCAACCACAATTCACCAATACCTCAATACCCAATTTCTATGATTCCACATCAAACACTCATGGTTCTTCTTTTAATATATATATATATATATATATATATATTACATTGTCTTACAAATTTTTATTATAAAATTATTTGAAAATACATTTATTCATCAACCTTCATCAGTATCTCATGTCTGATTGATTTGAAGAGTTTCGTTGTCTTGAATTCTTCTAATAGCTTATTGGTCATCAAGGTTATCAATATCGAGTTCCTCATCATCGTCGTATTGTGAGTAAATGTCGTCGGTATTGGTAGTTGGCGGTGTGCTTAGTCCCATGGCGATTTCATTTTCTTCCACCGCTTCAATCTCCATCTCTAATGATGTCGTGTGTTGAATTCTAACAATGCTATCCAAATAATATTTCAAACAGATGCAACACTCCATGGACTCCAGGCTTAGTCTTGTCCAGCGTATGGAAATGATCCTGCCACTAAGAGAAAAAGCAGACTCCGAAGCTATGGTACTAGCTTGGATTGTTAGTATATCACGTGTGATGCACGTCAAAACCGGGAATTGGGGTTGTTTTTTTATTACCAAAAATCTAATAAATCAATTTTTTCAAAAGCTTCGACTTTATTTGCGGGACATGCGGCCATAAAGTTAGTATGCACATACAAATTTAGTTCACCCAAATCGTTATCAAATCAACTTTTTTTACTTGATTCATTTAAAACCTCGTTTATTAAATTAGTCATCAACTATTTCCAACTTTTTGATGACCACTAAAAGAAGAACTATAACCCGCAAATCCACGACTTGAAGAGCTTTGTTGTTGGTTTCCTCCTCCATAAAAATGTTTGTAATGGTCAAATAAATCTTGAAAATTACGATTAAACAAACGTTTTTGTTCTATTGAAAAAAAATTATCCGTAGCCGTATCTAAACCAAAAGCCACACATATTTGTATAATTAAAATTTCAACATCGATAACATTTAGATACAGGTTTAACGCCACAGCACAAAGAAAAGCAAATGGGATGCTCATAAAATATTTTAACAATTTTTTTTCATTGAAGACATCAACCTTCCCCAATCGTTATGTTCTTTGTATTGGACAATCTTATTTGCCAAAATATATAATTGGTTTAAAACGGACTTGTTGGATAATAAATATTGGATAAAAGTATTGTGGCATTTTTAAAATCGTCTAAAATATCGTACAATCCTTCAAACACGGCTCAATTAAGATTTTCAATAGAATTTTGCGGGTAATGATATGAAAAAAATCTATTTTTTTTTGTTTTATCAAATTTTCAATCATAAAATAAGTCAGATTCCAACAAATAGACATATCGAACCTCGGTCCCAAAACTCTGAAAACAACGTCTTTCCAATACTTTCTATATTTCGCATTCATTTTCTTACCCTTTGTGAAAATTCGCCGCAACATAAGCCTAAATTTATCTATTACGGGTTTGCAATTATTTAAACCGT